GATGAGATTTGCATATTCTTTTCTCTTTTTTTCCTTTCTGATCATTAAAGCCCAAACTAATTTTAGTTTTTATCATTTATATTGCCAGTTTGTATCTTTTTCCTGCCTTCCTTTTCAGTCATTGCTGAACAATACAGGACAGCTCTCTTCTGCTCACAGACACTGTTTTTTTTCTGCTGCTTTTTCACTAATGCTGTCTCTGGTTAACTGGAATGGGAACAATTTGTTTGCAAGATCAACTACTTCCTCCCCTCTCTTTATTGAAGGCTTACTAAATATGCTGCCTTACCTTTTAAATAAACCCAGAGCACCCTCCACACCCAGGAGATCCTACATGTTTGATGGTACTGCACATAAATGCTCTTTAAATGCTGAAAAGTTCCAGTCCAGACTAGCTGCATCCACAACTGAATGCTTGCTCCTTCTGCAAAATAACAGGGTAGGAGAGAGAAGGGGGAAGACACAGATGCAGGATGGGCAGCCTGTTTCTTTTGAAAGCATAACAAGCCTCACTTTTACCAGTCTAGGCTTTTTTAGCCACCTGGGTGGTACGCAGTGTACCTTCCTCCCCATATAGATTGTTCTCATTCTCAAATTGGTTTGGGCCAGCTACTGAGAGCTGATTTGTATTCATGGCTTTGTGCTTCTCAGCAAGCACCCAAGTCAGGGCTGAGGTCCAAGTGAATCTCCTGCTGTCTCCCCAGAGCCTTTAAAGCTGTACAACAACTCGCTGGATGCGTCGCAGAGGGAGGCTGTCTCCTTCTCGCTGGCGCAGAGGGAGCTTGCCATCATCCACGGGCCGCCCGGCACAGGGAAGACCACAACACTGGTAGAGATCATCTTGCAAGCTGTACAGCAAGGCCTGAAGGTGAGTGTCAGTGGCAGGACTGTAGTGACAGCAGTCACCACCTTGGTTTGTTTTGCAAGCTCATTGGGCTTCACAGCAGCTGGAGCAGATCCAGTAGCAGCTGTGCTACACTGCAGAGCCTGCCTTGGCTCACAAGGCCCAGGGAGTTTCCCCTGTCAGCCAAAATTTGGTGCAAATAGAAGCTTCAAAGCTCAGGTTTGCTATTTATTGAAGCCCCTGCACTAGTGCTTCAAAGCAAGGTGAGAATTGCCTTTGGTATCTGGAGGCTGTGGAGATGTTAGTGGTTTATTTCCAATGGATATGGGCTTGTCTCCCTCTCTGCTGCTCAGACACTGTTGCTCCAGTGTTTTGCTGTCCTCAGCAGTAACAAGCACCTGGTTTCTCCCCTTGCAGGTCCTGTGTTGTGCCCCTTCCAACGTTGCTGTGGATAACCTGGTGGAAAGGCTGGCTGGCTGCAAAGCCCGCATCCTGCGCCTCGGGCACCCTGCTCGCCTGCTGGAGCCCATCCAACAGCATTCCTTGGATGCAGTCCTGGCCCGCAGCGACAATGCCCAGATAGTGGCAGACATCAGGAAGGACATCGACCAGGCCTTTGTACGTGTCCCTGCAGCACACCCCGTGTGGGTTACCTGAATGCCAGCTCTCTAGATTAGCCGTACCTGAGCCGCTAGCCAGGCAAGCTGCTTTGTCTCTGAAACTAAGGAACAGCTCTGCCACTTCTCACATGTTCTTAGAAGACAATCACTACAGCCAGGTACTCAGGGGTGCCCCAAAAATTAGTCACTGGGACTAGTCCTGATGTGAGCTGTGGGTGCCCTGGTTGAATCTGGTATTTGTGGGTTCGGGACATGTGAGCCCACAATGATGCATCCCAGTCTGGATCTTTATACAGGCAGGGGTAAAATATTGGTGGGCATGAGCCTCTCTGTGGTCAGTCAGCAGTAGAAAGGCCACTTCAGGAGAGAGAAAGGGAAAAATAGCATAGTGGAGGGGACTAACAGTTGCAGTTGGAGATGCGTGTGGCCCGGATTAATCCCATTTACTCTGACTGGGAGGCATTTAACCTGGCCTCGCAGGAAAGAAACTGGGTTGCAAGCATGGCAGTATTAGAAACGGAGAAGGCTTCCAGGCTGAAAGGTATCAGAGAGCCTCTGCCAGGGGCTGCCCGAGCCCCCTCAGTCACCTGCCACCAGCACCCATCTTCATCTGCTGTAGAAGGAGCTGAGGGCAAAACTCCTAGCTGAATTCCTCGGTGAAGTGGCAAAACCATAGTCGTTATTGCTGCGTGGGGAGATGCTGCAGTGCCCTGCTCTCCAGATGATCTGTCTGGCATTGTACACGCAATCCTCTCCACCGGAGAGCGAGAGAAACGTTCGCATCATTAATTCACTTCCGCACAAGAAGTCTGGCTGTCCTGACACTCCCTCCCACTCTCAGCCACCTCAAGTAGAAAGCAGAGTACACTGTAAAAATGCATCCTTAATTTCTTCTTTCACAACCTAATTTTCCTAAACTTAATTTACAAAGTAGCTCTTTTACTTGAGATGCTGTGTTTTGATACTGACTAGATCCCCCCCCCCTCTCCTCCTGGTAGCAGCACTGCCCAGAAGCCTTTTGCAGGTGCAGCCAGCAGAAGAGAGATCCTGTCTCGATCAGAGATGCAGGAGAGCATCTTTGTACCCCTGCACGCATGCTGTGCCATGCTTGCCCAAGTGTACTGCCCTGCCCTTCAGTAAGGCACTGCACATTTACTTTTTTAACTGATGGGAACCAAACATGGCTTTCAGCTCCGTGAACATCAATCTGCAGCCACCCCTATGGCAGCAGCTTCAGTTTTCCCAAGCGTGGTTGTGCATCATCCAGTGTTCCTGTTGCCGAAGTCGCTTGGCAGACAGGTTGTTCTTGCACATAATGTAAGAGGAGGGGAGGGGACCTGAGGGCTGGCTAAAGTTGTACTTATAGCTGAGAGGCAGCTACACGAAGGGGATGTGCTTATCTGCTGGGATGGAGACCTGGCTGGAGTCACAGCTCTACACAGAGCCTTTTTTACTTCCTCATTTATTTTGCATCTTTCTCACTAGCAGCTAATTTTCCCTTTCCTCTCCTTGGGAGGAGGGTTTTTTTCCACTGTTGATTTTCCATAGTAGAAAGGAAATGAGGGAGCAAGCAGAGCCTTCAGCATTAAGATCTTCATCTGCAGCCTCCCTAGAGGAAGGGGGGTGTGGTGATGGAGAGAGACTGGCCACCAAGCCCTGTTCTGCCCTGACACACCAAACAGAAACCCAAGAGCTAACATCCTGCTGCAGTGCAGCTTGCATAGCAATGCCTTGGGCTGCCCATGCTCAGGCCTTCCACAGAAGATGCACCCAACTCATTAGCATCTCTTTCTCTCTCTGGGCTGCAGGGATCCCACCTCTGAGGTCCCAGCCCATCTTTCCCTCCATCCTGCCCAAGTTCCTCCCCTGCAATGTCCCCTACCCACCATTCTAATAATTTCTTCCTTTGTCCACTCCACATTTTGACTCTTCTCACTCCTTTCCTTCACCACCACTCCCAATTATAGGGGAACTAGTAATATAAACAAAACCCCCATGCTCTCTTTGCACATTTTCTACCCCTTTGTGGCTCCTTCCCCTCCTTTCCTTCACCACCACTCCCAATTATAGGAGAACTAGTAATATAAACAAAACCTCATGCTCTCTTTGCACATTTTCTTCCCCTTTGTGTCTCCTTCCCTCACCTGTTCAAGCTTTCCAGGACATCAGCTCCTAGATACTCTTTGTACCAACAAGGGTGCAGCCCCACAGTACCTGAACAAGAAAGGCAGCGTAGGTCACAGCACAGGCCCAGCGGCATCAAGCAGGGTCAGGCAGCAGTCCAGATCACCAGGCAGGTGCAGAGCAGTGAGGCAAATCTGCAGTCAACCCAGGAAAAAAGCCAAACAAACCCCATAGCTCAAGGAAGGGGCAAAGGTCTGGCCTTAAATGCAGCTCCCAGACCAATGAGTGTGTGGGTGGGGACCCAAACAATCAGGGCAATTAGAGCCTGCTGGCACCCACAGAGCCCTGAGGAGGAGCAGGTGGGATCCAGGCTCAGTGTGCCAAGCGGTATCCCTGGGGTTGACTGTGCTCTGGTACCTCTGCACGGGGCTCCCTGCTCCCTCGGCAGCTTTTGGAGCTGAGAGTCACTCAGATGTTTGGATCTGAATGTCACAAGCCAACACAGAACAGCCGCTGTTGTTGGTTTACTAAGTGGATCTTTTTCACAGAACAGACATGAAACTTGGCCCTACTGGCACCATCGGTTTTGCTCTCTAATCTTCCTCTGCTTCTAGAGGAGGTGGATGCTGATGTGCTTTGTCCCTTCAGCTCAATGAGTGTCAGGACTGGCGCCCACCCTGTGCTTTTAGATGGAGCTAAGGAAGAGGTGCCTGTGATCACGTTACCTGTGTGTCTGTCATCGCTCCCCTGTAGCTGCTGAGCCCATCAGCCAATTTTGTCCATGTCTGACAGACACGTAGAGGTCTCACAGTATTAAATACCTACAAGTCTAACCAAAACAGGTGGCTGAGTAGACGAGTGAGACACACGAATGTCTTGCCTTGGGGGCAAGGCTGCAACATGAGCTGAACCATGTTAGACACTGGAGAATCTGTCCATCCAGAGGATGATTATAGGAACCATCAGGTCTCATTGGTTTGGCTGAATATAAAAGCTTCTGTCTGCAGCTTTTGCAGCTTTCTCAAGTCATCAGCCTTACCTCTGAGGAAATAATCCAAATTTCCATTTGATAGTGTGGGGAGCTTTCTCAAGGTGACTTGCAGTGAACGATAGCTTGGCCGTGGTCTCGTAGCTGCTGCTCTGTAGCCGGGGAAGCGCCAGCAACCAGTGGTGATGATGTGATGTGTTAGATATATTTAACAGGCGTTGCTAAAAAAAGCCATGAGCCTGTCTAGGTATTGCTCTGAATCCAGAGGAGTTTAAGCATGGACCAACTAAGTCTGAGAAATTGCTGCCTGGACCCTGAGTGGTGGCGTTGCTCCTGATGCTCCCAGGTGGTCAGATGGGCAGCGATACTCTCACTTTGCTGCTTCGTGCTCAGAGCCTGGGGTGGTGTTGGCATAGTCCATCTTCTGCGTAGACAGAAATACTCTTTGTGCGTCGAGTGGCACCGGTTGAGGAAGGGGCTCTCTGGCAGGGAGAGGGGCTGAGTACGAGGATGGTGGATCCTGGTGGACATGGAGAAGCCATGCTGTATGCAGGTTCTTTGGTCATCTGAGAAGCTGAACGTAGTAGCCCTAGGACTAGAAACAGTTTGTTCTGTTTTTCTGTTTTACAGGCAAAAACGAGAAAAGCTCAAGACAAGGGAGAGCGGGGCCATTTTCTGTGTGAGATTAAGGCACTGAGGAAGGAGCTGAAGGAACGAGAAGAAACTGCCATGGCTGCAGCCCTCACCCATGCCAGTGTTGTCCTTGCTACGAATACAGGTGCGAGATCCTCTTTCTCTTTGCAGCGTTTTACCTCGCTTGCCAGGACTCACGTAAACCATCTGCCCTGCAATGCAGCATCCCGCTGGGATAGGAGGGAGACTTAGTCTTCCTGCTCTGAGCTCCTGGGAGTTCAGTCAAGTGTGCTGCGAGCTCTCGAACTCCTCCGCAGTGGGATTCTCCCTGCTTACGCTCCGGCAGGCGACCTTGTTGTTTAGCAGAGAATGTGGGTCGAGAAGGGCCTTTGGTGTGAGCCAGCGTGGCCCATCTTGGCCAGTTCTGAGGAGGAGCTGAGCTTTCGGGGAGTAAACAAGCGCTGTCGGAGGTGTGCAATCTGCCTGTTGATTTCATAAGTCACATGGAATTGCTTCCTGCTTGGATAATTTCCACGGCTGATCAAACACAGCACATGTTTCCGTAGCCTGGTCTCGGTCCGCGTGTGTTCGGCTGGTTCTGTGAGTCACCCACGTGCTGACAGTGACATGGGATTTAGGGAACAGCTCCAGGTTCTCGTCAGGCAGCACATGTGGGCACATCTGCATCTACAGGTAGGAAAGCAATACCCTTGTGATCGAAGGGGGACATAAGTGCTTAAATTTTAACATGTGCTAACGTGCTTTCCTGGATCAGGTGTATCATACTCCAGGGCGCACTTAAAATCTTCAGATTTGGTTGCTCGGGGATTATTTGCTGAAGGGAAACATCAATGATTTTAGGTCATAAAAAGAACCTGATGGGGCATTCACAAGTTACCAGTGTGAAGGTTAAAGGACAGAGAAATCCTCCCAGTGCGTTATTTGCTGGGAATTGGCCTCTCACTTCTTTTAACTTTACTGAAAAACAGAGGGAGGTTTCCTTTTTTCAGTAAAACTGGTATTTTGTGCTGACTGTTGCGTTGATCAGGTGTGATTACCTTCGGGGGCCTGCTAGCCAGTGGGGAGGTGTGTGCAATTCTGCTTCAGTGGAAGGTGGTGACAAACAAAGTGTTTGGATTTTGTATTTATTTTCCTCAGTTAAGCAATTTTGGTGTTTTTCTGAAACCGCGTATCTTGATGGGAATTACTGCTTCAGAGAGAGAGTTTAATCGTGGCAACACACAGGGACACCAGTGACCTTTAGTTAATGGGGGTTCAGGAAACTCAAGTCAAGCTGCAGGGCTGTAAGGGGAGCAAACCATCTGCACAGCTGCGTGCCACATCGGTACAGTCTTTTTGAGATAGAAAGAACCTTTCTGCTTATTTATTTTCCTTCCACTGTCAGCGCAGCAAAATAGAGAGAGTTTAATCGTGGCAACACACAGGGACACCAGTGACCTTTAGTTAATGGGGGTTCAGGAAACTCAAGTCAAGCTGCAGGGCTGTAAGGGGAGCAAACCATCTGCACAGCTGCGTGCCACATCGGTACAGTCTTTTTGAGATAGAAAGAACCTTTCTGCTTATTTATTTTCCTTCCACTGTCAGCGCAGCAAAATTGCAGAAGTCAAGTTCAAGACACGTGCCCCTTGTTACCAGAGCTGATTCATACAGGCTGGAGAAAATGTTTTGAAAGGAAAACACGGTGTCTCGGTTGACAAGACTGTAACATCTGAACTGATGCAAAGCTGCAGAGGCAGCAGGATTCGCAGTGGCAAAGCAAAATCGCCCCTGATCGGAGCTGCTTTCAGAGCTGTGCTGCGGTAGCACGGGGGCTTCTCAAAAAACATGGCTGTGGAAGCTGGGAATAAAAATCTCCTTGTCTGGCACGCTGGCTTCTTAATCCTCCTCTCCTCCTTGCGCATCCCTTTTTCTTACGAATTGCGGTGATATTTTCGATGCCTCTGAAGTTCACAGTCTGATCAAGGTGTGGGTCAGCAGTGGTTCATGTCTGGGTTGTATTAAGGCCTGTGTGGGGGTTGTTTGGCTGACATAATGGATGTCTGGTGTGAAAAAATAGTCCTTGCCGTGAGCTATTCCAGTCTTCTGTCCTTTCCCTTCTCCTGCTGCCATGAGGAAGGACAGAGGAGCACGGCCGGGGTCCGCAGGGCAGAAGAGTCGGGGTCTCAGCTGAGCTTTCCCTCTCGGGGTGTCCCTCGGGGTGTCAGACGAGGCGACTCTCGAGTCCCTCATCCGTTCAGTTTTGGTGGGGGAGAGGCTCTGTTTGCATTCGAGGGCAGAAGGAGAGTGGGTGCTCATTAGTGCTTTTGCTCTGCTCCTGCCCTGGGTGAAGCCCCTGAGCACATTGTTCTGTTCGTCATCTGGGCTTCACTGTTGTTTTCGAAGATGCTTGGAAGCTTTTGGGCCCAGACGCCAGGGCAAAAAAAGACAAACAGGAATTGGCAAAAACAATCCTGACACATACATACAAATGTATATGTGTTTGGCACAGACCACAGAGCTGAATTTCTAAATCTCTGCAAAGAAACGTTATTTTACCTGCCTCCCCCGGTCTCAATTTAAGCATGTGTGGTTTATTTTAAAACCAGGTTGCTTCCTTTCCTGTGCTTCCCTGCTAAGCTGTGCACCTTCTCCTTTAACCAGGTGCCTCCTCCGACGGCCCGCTGAAGCTGCTTCCCGAAAACCACTTTGACCTGGTGGTGATAGATGAGTGTGCCCAGGCCCTGGAAGCCAGTTGCTGGATACCTCTGCTGAAGGCTGGGAAGTGCATCCTGGCCGGGGATCACAAGCAGCTGCCCCCCACCGTCATCTCCCACAAGTAAGGAGCCGTTCCTGGTCCCGGGTCTTCCTGTTACTTGTGCAGCCAGATGTTTCTGAATGCCTCAAAGTGTCGAGACCTTTCATTAATGTGGATTATTTATTGGTAGCAGCTGGAGTGCCAGCCTTCTCCGAGATTGCCTTTTGCCCTTGTCCCACGTTTACTTAGGAGTCGTGTGCCCACAGTGGAGAGGATCCTCTGCAGAAAAAGCAGGGCAGGCAGGGAGGGCGAGTGCAGTGAGGCAGGAGGAAGGGGCAGAAACTCCTGGCAAACCACGTTTCAGGGAGATCTGTCACACTGGAAATGTCAGAGGTAGCTCTGCACCATCGTGGAAAGAGCTCTGCTCCAAAGCCTTTGTAATGGTGCGGGGACCTTCCTGCTCGCTGCCACGGCCTCTGTGCCAGGGGCAGGTCCTGGCAGGAGAAACAGCAGATAAACGGTGTGAAATCAGAGGGTGCTGTCCCGCTGGTGCTGCTGTGGGATTGATGGATGCTTTCTGTGGGCTTGTCATCCTTCCACCAGTCCCTGAAACATGCCCCAGCTCCAGAGTTGGCCGTGTTGAGCTTGCGTGGTGTGCTTTGGTTTTTCCCTTTAGTGAGGAGGGGTACTTGTGCTATGCACTACTATTGCATTACTCAGAATTGTGTATGTTTTGACAGATGTTTTTCCTGAGAGACATATCATCAGCAGAGATACTTCCTCGATCCCACTTGCTTAGCAGCACTGTGTTTGGATTCTTTGTTCTCTCTCTGGGAAAGTAATTTTCCCAGTGGTTAGGAAGGTTGTTCAGAAAACAGTTTAAAACAGTCACATCAGCCACTCAAACTAGTAAAACGGTAAGCAAACAGAAAGTGAACAAAACAGAGACACAAATTCTGGTTTCACTGACCAGTATTTACGTATAAACTTTAAAATGTTTGTTTTTAAGAAAGATGATCTGTTTTTCTACATGAGGTTTCCTTTTGCCTGGCAAGAAGGGTGCCTTGCTTTACCTCCTCCGTGCTGACTGCAGGCTCTGTAGAGTGAAATCAGGCTCAAACCCGCTTTCATCCAAGTCTTCTCTTCCCTTTATTAGATTCTGCTTCTGTGGTTGCACGTTTATTTATTTCAGGTATTAATGTGGGAGTTGGCCCACCGAGACGCCGCGTTATCACACACACCGCGGGGGTGATAAAACTTCACCACCCCTACAGCGTGCGTATTAAGAACAATTAGGTTGTGGGAAGGATCTGTGGCTGGTGTAAATTGCCTGTGCTTCGAGGGGGATACTCCAAATAGTACTGGGGAGCCTTTGGGTGGTTTAAAATATAAAAGTGCGCGCGTTTATCTCGCTCCAGACCTGGAATTACTGCGCCGTCATCGTGCAGAAGCAGAGAAATAGGGCCGACTCCGTAAACCTTCCCTCCTGCCTCCAAAAGATAGTGAGCGAGATACATATCTATAACCTCCCTCGGATTTCGAACAAGGGAAATGAAAAATCCAAGGGAGACAGCTCCCAGCAGGTGGCTGAGAGCTGGTGCAAATAACGATAAGGCGCTGGATCATCTTCTCATTTTCCCGCTACCAGCTGCACAAACGCTTGTTGTTTTGCACATCTTGGCAGGGGATAAGCACGCTCCTCCGCTGCCTGGTGGAGGTATCTAGGCTGGGGGACTGCGAAAAAAGCCCGTCCAGAACCCCCTACCCTCTTGTCTCACTGTTTATTTACTGTGTCTCTGTGCCTAGGTTTTCCTCATGTGTAAATCAGGAATAAATGATTTTACCTCCACGCAGAAGCCAAACGGATAACCAAGGCTGGGGAGCTGGAGAGAGGCTGTCACCTCTGCTGAGCCAACAGATGTTACTAGCCTGGGGTGGGAAGCTGCAGTCAGGGGCTAGCTGGGGGCTAGAGCCTCGCTTGCTTATATTCGTAGGGAATTGGTTTGGTCTTGAGTCGGATAACAAAACTACTCCTGGTAGAGAAGAGCTCCTTGCCTGATGTGCACGGTACTTTTTGGAGTAAGTATCTGGTTACTCACAAGAAGAAATTTGAAGTTGGGTCCTTCTAATTTCAGGGTTATCATTCCTTTCTTCAAGTGATGTGTAAGGCTCATCTCCTCGTGCTGCCCTTGGCCGGCAGGATTCATCTCGACTGCCCTTCTGAGCAGTGGCACTGCTTGGGGCTTTTCACCCCTCTCTCTGCCTGTGTCAGTGAGTTGCTCAAATTATGAATAAAGAGAGAAGAGGCAGTTGGATGCCCTTCCTCTGCTTATCCTTCTGGTTGTGGACGTGTGCCTATTCATATCTCATGCTCCTGCCACAGCAATGCTGATCAGGAGCTTCAGGTGGCTGAAGATGCTCACCAAAGAGTCACTGTGGTCCCAAGACAGCAACTATGTGCTAGCAAGGCAGACAGGGCTGCCCAGCCCCAGGAACAGAGCCTAGAGGCTTATTTTCCCCAAGACTGTCAGATTAAGGGCAAAACATAATAGAAATACCAACTCTGGTACTATGGGTGAATGGGTCTAATGCTCAACTGAGGTCAGTTTTGGCCTCTCTTTGAAGTGAGGCAGATTTTCTTCAGAAGAGCTCCAAAAACATTATATCACCTGCTCAGTTGCTTTCTTCTGCTGTCATGATGGCTGATGCCAGGGGCATTGCTGGTGCTGCATCGTGGAGTCAACAGCAAAAAGCTCCTCGTTGGTAGGATCCATCTGCTGCAGATCTCCTGGATCCCCTCCTGGTCCTGCTTGAGTAGTTGTGCTTTTCTCCTCCTTTCTTTTGATTTCGTTTGACTTTGCAGTGGAAAGCTGCCGCTAGTTTGCCTCTCTCCTGCGGTCACAGGTGATCATAGTGTCCACTTTCTCCCATCAGAAACACTGTTCTGCTCCTTAGATCCTATAGGTATGACTCAAACCTTCAAGCTTTTTGTCCTTGCTGTTCCCATTGTTTTTCTTTAAAAATATTGTCCATTTTGTACGTGTTCTTTCAGTGTGTTTAAAATCTGAGCTGCACGAGGAACTGGTCTTTGTAAAACTAAGAGAGAGTGTGGGTAGAAGTCAGATCTCCTGGATCTTCAACCTTGGCAGAGTTACCAGCTGTGCAGGGAAGTCAGTTGTGAGGTCAGCTCCCATCTCTTGTGGGGTAATCCCTTTTGGATGAGGAACCTGAGGGGTATTTAAACACCGTGTCACTCTCTGCCCTTCCTAAAGTTCAACAGATTTAAAATAAAGTAGAGCAGAGAGAATGTGTGTCTGAATCAATAGTGTTAACAGATTTATATCTCAGCCTGACTCACCAGTAAATTATGATCCAAGAAACTTGCTACATTAAACAAAATTATTGCTCAAGGCATCAGCAGGTCCACGACCCTGGTGCTGGTCAGAGAAGACACCAGTCACCAGAGCTCAGCCTCGCAGACAGTCGCCTTCTGGAAAATAAAGTGCAGAAAGCCAAGCTGACCTCAGCTCACTTGGAAGAATTATGGGCTGTGCTCTCAAACACTGCTGCTCTCCGGGCAGGTCTCTGTTTCAGCCTAAAAGGCAAAGCTGCTCTGATGCTGCTGCCTGTGCCAGCTGGTCTTCTCCTGGTTCCCTGAGTAGCTCTGGAAACCTATTAGCTAACGTGAAGCAAATCCATCAAAGTGTGAAAGTCTGGGAGGTCTTCAGCTCCGTTAAAATAGCTGAAAAAGCTGAGACCCGAGTTTGTTCCTGCACTGCCTTTCCCCTCACTTCTAAAGGCTGACATCTTGTTAAGTAAGATTACTCAAAATTGGGTATTTTCAAGCTTTGCCCGTGGCTCAGCTGGCTGACTGTTGGAAGACTGAGAATGCAGGAAAACAGGTGGAAAATAAAGCTTCTTGAGCTTTTTATGGCTTTACCTTTGATCCCAGTGGGAGCTCTTGGTAGCAGCCCCCCAGATGTTAATTGCAGATGGGAACACTGGTAGGTATTAACGGTAAATACGGGAATTAGAGTGGGAGCACAGCAGGCGGGTGCCGACCTGGAGTCTTCCCCCCCATCCTAGCCTCTGGTGGGAACAGCAACATTTCCCTCTCCCCTTTCCACGTTACCAACGTGCCCCTCAGCCCTGCTGGCTCTGTAGAGCAGAGGGCTCTCGGACAGACCGTTTGGATCTGCCAAGGGTTTAAGTAGCACAACACGGAGTATTTGTCCCGCAGAAAATACCCGGGATGACACGTGTTAGCCTGGTAGAAAGTGAAACTGCCAAACACTGGAAGAAGAGAGTTTCTTTCTTTCAAACTCTGTTGCTGCCTAGTGAACCCCCCCGACCAGCCGTGATGGAGAAGATATGCAGCGAGCTGACCGTCCGCCTCGACAGCCTCCAACGGCGGTGTAAAAGCCGACAAATTGTGATCAATTAGAACAACTTCTTTTGAGAAATCCAATTACTTTTCAGATAAATGCCTTTAAACGTTATTAGCTCTTTTTCTTACAGACCTGAGCTCTGGCCTGGCTTTTAATTGCTGCCCAAGTCAAAGCACGTGCTTTATGGAACGCAGCTTTCCTCTCGGCAGCACCGTCCCCGCGCCGCGCGAACCAAGCGGACGCCGGAGAGCTCCGCTTTGCGCTTTTCACAGTCCCCATGGGCTGCCACATGCAGCACAAAGGCAAATTCCTCCTACCTCCATCTCGTTAGGTATTGCCAGATCTAATTAAGGCACTGAGTCACCTGCCGTCTCCTCTTTGGTTACGGGAAAAGGATAAGCTATTTCCAGGGATGGTTCCTGCCGAGCACTCAAACCCTCCCTCCTGCCTTCCCCTTCCCCTCCATTGATGACAGCAGGCCTGGTGTGGGTGGGCTCCTATTTTCGGGGCCAAACTCTGGCTGGTGTAACTACCTTCTTGTTACCTGCTTTCTCCTCCATGGATTCAGCGTTTATCAGTGATTGTCATCAGGTTTTTTTCCACTTGAGGTTAAGGGAGTTTTGGTGGGGAGTCCGCAGGGTGCTCCTCTCTGTTGCTTTTTGGCATGCCTGGAGTTATCTCAGGATGCAGAGGGCATCCCCACACACCTTACAGTACGTTCACCTACGTCTCAGGATGTGTTTCTGGATGTGTTTCTTCTGAAAGACCTCCCAGCGGTGGCAAACACTGGTGCCCCCTGTTCCCTTCTTGGCAGCCCTCTCCACAGCTCAGGGGCATCGGCTTCAAGCCTCCTGCTGGGTTTTGGCCCGGTCCCGGGGGCCTGTGCCAGGACACTTTCTGCTGTCTGACAGGAACATTTGTTTTCCTTGTTTTCATTTTATTCCTCATTCCATCCTTTTCTGGCATCCTAATTAATTTGTCTCCACATCAGGGCTTTGATTTATTAATTTGTTTTCACACTCTTCAGATAGTTATCAGACCTCTTGCTCTCAACTAATTTCTTAGACAAGCTCAGGAATATTTTGCTATCTTGTTTGTTAGCAGTCTGTCTGGATGCCCCCGCCATCCCAAATCCACGTGCTCATCCTCCGTGCTCAGCAGTCCGTTGATTTGGGTGTCAGGGCCAAATAGATTTGCTTTTGCTTTGTCACTGAAGAGCAAGTGTCAGGCCTTGGTTTTCTTTGGTAACCTCTGCAGCTCTAAGGAACAAGCTACCCTCCTCCGTCGTATTTGCTAGGATTAAAAAATATCCACGATATCCAGAAAAAAGCGGAGTTCTGCACAGCCTCACTTACTGCTACTTTACCTATTTGTGAAAGCTCTTAAGCCTATACCAGGACCCAAAGCAAAGGACAGCTAATACTTTGCATGTCCAGCCTGTTCCAACATCCAAGAGCTTAATGCAGAGCTCTCGAGGTAGGAAAACAGTGTCATCCCTCTCCAGGCTTTGCTGTCGGAATTCGACGGCGTACAGCGGAGATCAGTCACACCAGCATCTCCTGTCTCTCAGGGAGGACACCAGCTATCCAGAGGATGAATAAGGCACAGCTCCAGCTCTCCATGGGAAACACTTCCCTTTTGTCCCCCCTAGTAACAATCATTGACATCTCTGCGGCAGGCTGGCTCTTCACGCCCGGCCCATAAAGGGTATTTCACACCAGGGTGGGCACAAAAGCCTTTGAAACATTTGGTTCCACTTGGCTACAGCTATCACCCTTAACGTGCAGCGTTTCTTCCAAGAGCTGGGGGAGGAAGGCTTACCTGTGAAGAGCAGCAGGGTCTCATCCTCCCTCCCTGAGATCCATCCTGGTACTGGCCCCCTCACCCAGCCCCGGGAAGGTGAGTCGGAGCGAAGCGCAGCCTTTTCCTGCACGTGAAGCAAGGTGAGACCAGGTTAGCGGCAAATACTGGCTGCTGTGGGCTCATTTTGGGAATTTTGGCTTGCCTAGATTTACTTTAGGTACTTCAAAATAGATAGTCCTGAGCATCAGGAGCGCGATTCTGTCTGTCCAACCTCCTGTCCCAATTTGATTTCTCTGAAGCCGTTGATACTTAAAAAGCTTTTGCTCAGTGCTCTTAGGATTTTGTCGGCATAGAAATGAACCGTTGTAGGAATTCACTGAGCGGTAAAATAATAGGGAATTTATTAACAGGTGAAATTTTGCAAGCAGTTTAATATCCTCATTATTAATTCAACGTATAACCTCATGTAGATCCCTGCGGTGGAAACTGTGCTGTCAGTGTATAGGAGAGCACTGTTTCTAAGGCTTGCTGTGAGGTTTAATGCCCTCCTCCATGCTTTGTTGTATGTTATTACAAGGAACACTTCAGAATACTTGTTGTTAAGAAACACCAGGGTTTTCCTGCCAATTCTGCATGAAAATCAGTTTTAGGATTGCTCTTAGATTTGCCAGAATTTGTGAGCCAAGGGAGGGGAGGAAAGGCCGAAGGTGAACAGGAGGTACCTTTGGTTGGTAAGGCTGCTAAGCTCGCTGCATCCCTTTAAGACTTCGAGAGCATCTTATTTGAGTATCCCACACTTCTCACTTGAGTTGCCTGACGTGACTTACACAGCCAGTGTCTGGCAGCAGCAAAGACCAGGAACAGCATCACCATCAACAGGACACGGTCCCACAGGGTCTGAGCACAGCGAGCAGAGCCAAGGGCTGGCTGGGGGGTTCTCCAGCAAGCTGTGAACCAGGCCCAGGGTCCATCCAGGGGTCCCAGCAGGAGATGGGCTAGAAACAAAGCCACGACATGGGCCCAGAGCCCATCTAGAAGATACAGCTAAAGACAGGATCGAAGTGACCTGCAACATCGATCCAAGGTCCGTAGATCTCTCCATCCAGGAGACAGAGCTAGGACATAACTCAGGCAGGGACTGAAGGGCCGGTGCTGAGCTTAAATGGGGCCCATGGGCAGAGGGTGTTGGGTCCCAGGGGAGGCTGGGGAGTGGAGGGCTTCGTGGCCAACCTCAGTGTGGTCCATCAGCAGCAGCAAAACGCGCGGCACATCTGGAAACATCTGTGGCGTAAAGCACAGCATCCTTACTGCAAACCTGCCCGCCCTCCTCGCAGCTTCTGCACCCGTGTTAACGTTACAGCCACCCATGAAAAAGCAGCGCTGTCCCCCAGGTGCTGCCGCTGCGTCCGTTCAGAGTCCATCACCCCGTTTTTCCCCGTGTGCTGCATTCTGACACAGCCAGAAGGAGGGATAGTGAGACCCGACCTCTCGGAAAGATCTCCCCTCCATTTTCCCTTCTGCAGTTTTAACGAATTGGCAGCCTCTTGTTGTGTTTACCAGGCGCCCCGTGGTTAACGCGACAGACGAGACGCGCGCCGTGCCGCCGCGTAGCGATGCGGTGCCTCCCACGGCAGCGCTGGACGCGCGCCGTGCCCTTAGCCCTGGTGGAAATCGTTTCCCCGAGCTGTTCTCCATCAGCATTTCATCAGCGCTGTGCTTGTTCTTTGTGTTCTGGTAGCAACCAGGACCCCTCGCCATGAACCACGGCCTCGTCCGAGGCGCTGGACACGCGGTATGAAAAAGCTCTTTGTGCTGCGAAACGCTCAAAATGCAAACCCAAAAGTGGGGCGATTCTTATCCTCTTCCTCAGGCGGTGCCGTTGGGCGACACTCCGGACAAACCCTTTCTGTATGGCAAAGGGAAAGCAATTAGGCCCCTGAAAGGAGCTTTATTAATTTGTGTCGCAGATAGAAGCACGGGACCTCTGCCAGAAGCGATGGAGCGTTGGTTTCCTACACGGGTGACAAAGCAATAAGCGCCGAAATGCCTTAGTCTGGGATGAGCGGCCTCGGAGCAGTGAGCACACCGGGGCGGCGCGTGTCGCAGCAGAACGTAGCGAGGTCTGGCCATGCTGACAGCGAGCCGTTTGGGATGTGGGATCAGGCCCTGGCACTAATGCCTCAGGGGATCCCGATGCCGTTGCTGAGCTCGCGGTAACGTTACGCTGGGAGACGCGGTGTCGGCTCGTTATGAGCAGCGTGACGGAGGGTGTCGACAGGACGAGCTTCCAGGTTAAGAGGTTTTTGTTCTGGAGCTGTTTCCCCAAGTGGAGGTCTTGGGTGTCCTTGCTCGTCGTATTCCAACCGCACAGAGTGGATCGGGGTGGGAGAAGCGCCTGCTGAGGCAGGGGTGGCCCATGCCGTCTGCATCTCGCCCGAGGTGTTTCCCGCTGGGAAAGGGAAGCAGGCATCTCTCCACCCAGACGTGTTCAAGTCAATCTGGTCTCTGGGTGAGGCAGACATCTGCCCCTGAGGGTCTTCACCCAGCTGGGGTGCCTACCCTGAAAGGTAATGCTCAGGACCTGCAGCCATCCCATGCTCCCTTCCCACTGTCCAGTGGTACCCAAGCGGGAGGGCCCGGGAGGTAACACCATCCCAGCATCCTAGGAGGACAGCACCAGGGTGCTCAGCAGGGTCCGGAGTAAACATTGCGGGTGCCCCGACGGCATCGCGACGGAGCCCCGTTGGCGCTGATCAGCACCAGTGAGGTGGTGCTGGTTGATTGCCCAGTCCGCAGGGGGTTAAACCTGTCCTGTAGCTCATCACTCCAGAGCAGACAGCTGGGCTCCATTCTGCCTCGCTTTCCCGTGCAGGGCTGCTGCCAAGGGCCTTTCGCTCAGCCTGATGGAGCGGCTCATCGCGCGGTACGGGGACAAGGCTGTGAGGATGCTGACGGTGCAGTACCGCATGCACCAGGCCATCATGCAGTGGGCTTCCTCGGAGCTGTACGGCGGCCGGCTCACCGCGCACCCCTCAGTGGCCCAGCATTTGCTCAGGTAAGTGCCTGGCTCTTTGTTGGTGTGTCTGAGCAGAGATGTCCTCTTCATCCCACCATGTGCAGTGTTAAGTCCCTTCTCTGCGACGGAGTTTTCCATTCCTCCCGGCCCTGCGATGGCATTTCTGTTTCATCCTGTGTTTCATCGAGGAAGCATTAACTGGGGGAGGCTGTCCTTTTCCCTATGTAACAGGAAGTTCAGGCAGAGTTATCTTCTGTTTCCTTCTTTGGTATGATAAGCAACAAAATGCAATCCCCTTGCACCTGGTGAGGATATGTGACGGCCTGGCCTGCAGCAGGCGTACCCCAAGCAGTGGTTCTCCACCTGAAGCTCTCATCGAGGGTAGGACCAGACACCCGTCTTCTACTGTGTTTCCACATGTCCATGTGATTATGAGGGCCAGCGTGTGTCCCGTCTTCAGTCCCAACATTGACATCAGAAAGATCGAAAAGCAAGATTCCTGTTCCAGCTTGGACAGCCTGTCCTGCCAGGACAGACCTGAGGCAGGTCTGATGGCCTCAGATCCGGTCCTTGCCGGCAGCGGTTCTCCTTTTTGTTGGTGACTTAGGGGCAATGACTGGCATTTCCTTTCCTTTGCACATGGGACGGGCAGTTGTTTGCCAACACCCGCTGCGACTGTCAATAATTGATGCTTTTAAAATTGCAGTCGGTGCAGTTCTGGGAGGCGGATGGGAAAACATTTAATTCTCTCTGTTGGACTCAGAGAAACATAAAATACCACAGTGCTTGCCTGCATCGAGCTCTTGTATTTTTAGCAATACTTTTTTTTTAATGCAAATATTGAGGAGTTGGAAAAATTGGTGTTCCCCTAGAATCTCTCCATTTCACAGTAGATCCAGTTTTGGACAGAGATAGCTGCAGAGGCCGTTTTATCATACTTGTTTCAAAATAATCTTACTCGTGAGCAGTGCGAACGCTGCCTGGATGGGAAGAGAAGAGCAAGCTTTGTGTTAGAGGCAGCCCCGGCACCCTTGTTCTTATTCCTTGCCCTGCTTTTTTTCCCCATTTAACTTTGCAAATTAAAACCAGCAACTAGTAAAGAGCCCCAGGCAAAATGGTTTGAAACCATTAAAATAGGAAATCGATTGAAAAGTTGAAGTTAGGCAACTTTGTTATTCTGATGAGCTGGTTTATTTCTATAGCTGATGAAGGAGTGAATGTTTTTCTTTCTAGCCCGCAGTGCAGCTTAGTCCCTTGCTCAGGGCCTTCCCCTGCAGAAACTGGTTTCTGAACTCATAATCAAACCTGTCAGTCCACAGCCCTCCTGACACATCGCATGGATACAGCAATCCTCAGCTCAGGCACTGGACCATGTAAAGTGTCTGTGCTTCTGGAGAAGACCAGGTAAAGCAGGGGCTCGATATCAGACCATGATCTTCTTGTGTTTAGGTCTCTAGTACAAATTCCTTCATGATATTTGTGAGCAGTTCATGCCTTTTGTTGGCTTAGGCCACATGATTTGCTTAATACCTTACCTGAGCGAGAAATGAGTGAGTTTTGTTCCCTAATAGTTCTAGGAAAAGCTCTCTTACAAGCAGAAGCATCCTAGGGAAGCGGAAGGCTGGTGAGTGCCCACAGGAGTTCCCTGCTCTCCTGGGAAGCAGCCAAAGCCTGGGCTGCAGCTGCAATTGCAGCAACAGCATTTGACAAACTCTGGGTCTGTAACTTTTTGTCATCTCCTTCCTAAGGGCTGTGGGTGGTGGGCGAGGAACCCAAAGAGTCCCAGAGCGTGGTGCAAGGAGCAGGAGCTCCATCTCTGCTGGAAGCGCTTTGAGGTCTTCCTTTAAGGAAAGATCTGACGGGTGTCATCCAGACTGTAGCCCCCACCACCCCTCTGGCCTTGGCAAAGCCAGCCCTTGTGATTGTCTCCTCACCTTGGATTTACAGTGACCTTGGGGCCATTTTGAGAGGTGAAGCTTGAAGAAGCATGTCCCAGTCTGGAGACGTGGCTGGGAGGAGGTCTGGGCACAAACACCTTGTGCTATGAGTTGTGGCAGAGAGTTTTTGGTCCAGCTGGACGTGTAGAACCTGCTACCTGTGGGCTCTCACTTGGGACGACTCTCCAGGGTCTGGTAGCAAGGCTGTGCTCCCACCATGACCTTGCCCTGAGCAGCGTTCTTGCTGAAAGTCCCACCTACCTCACCCGAGGCACAAAGATTGGACTTTGGGAAAAGTGCAGTTCTGCTCCAGACAGCTTCACGTTTCCTTACCAACCTCTGCTCTGCCATCGGAGCCGCGCGGGAACACTTGGTCTGTGATCTCTCACCGATTTATGCCGCACCATCTTTTCGCAAAAAAAAAAAGGAAACTTTGGTTTCCTGTGATATCTTTTCAGGGCAGAGTATTTCCAAGGGAGCAAAACCTTCTTCCCAAAATCTCTCTTCCTTCTGAAATAGGTGACGAAGCACATCAGAAACCCCCCACGCATCCCCAGAATTAAGTCAGGGAGGCTGCAAGAAGCGTTCTTCACGTTCAACGTTTGTGACTCACTGCGCGAGAAGGTGGTTTGAAAATCACCAGCAGTTTCTGCTGTCAGTTTTTATCTAAGTACAGTACTAGGTGTCCCTTCCCTTTGCACTATTTTTGGGCTAACACCCCCTCACCGATGGGGAATATGAGGGAATTCTCCTGGTAGTGTGAGCCCCGGAAGATGCTCAGAAGCCCGAATGCCCCTCGGTTGGGATGTGCAGCCCACCCAGCTGGGACCACCTTCTCCGGAGGGAGCACAGGGTGCTGTGTGCCCGAGGGCACAGCGCCGAGCCTGGATCCCTTGGCTCACTGCAGGGACAACCTGGCTCGTCATCACAGACCAAGAACCTCTGCAGGAAGAAAAAACCCATCTCTGCAGCCTGGGCTGGTTTGCAGCAGGTGGGAGAAGTGCCTTTCCCCTTCATCCTGAAGGGACAGCAAAGCACTGGAGACCTTTTCTCCGAGGTAAAAGCCAGTTCTGCTGCAACCTCACTGCTGTAGAAGAGCATGAATTCATAGATTCATAGATTTCTAGGTTGGAAAAGACCTTAAAGATCATCGAGTCCAACCGTCCCTAATCCCCATTAAACCATATCCCCAAGTAGATCATCCACCCTATTCTTAAACACATCCAGGGATGGGGACTCAACCACCTCCCTGGGCAGCTTATTCCAGTGGCTGACAACCCTTTCAGAGAAGAAATACTTCCTAACATCCAACCTGAATCTCCCCTGACTAAGCTTATGCCCATTTCCTCTTGTTCTGTCACCCATCACTAATGTAAAGAGCCCTTCCTCCACCTCCCCACCATCCCTTCTCAAGTATTTGTAGGCTGTAATCAGGTCTCCCCTCAGCCTCCTCTTCTCCAGGCTAAACAGCCCCAGCTCCCTCAGCCGCTCCTCACTAGTTTTATTTTCCAGCCCCTTGACCAGTTCAGTCGCCCTTCTCTGGACCCGCTCCAGGAGAATTCTCTCACCTGGAAGATTTAGGTAGATAATTACTCCTCTGAAGTGACATTCCCAGGGTTGAGGTTATTCCTGGCACAGAAATGCTGCAAGGGTTTTCCACAGCCACTGTGAGCAGGCAAAGAATCAGGATTATCTACGTGGAGGACTTGGCTTTTGCTAAAAGTCTTGTCTACACAGACGTGGACAGTGGTCGGACAGTAAGTGGAGCAGGAATTTTGAAGGAGATGGGAAGCCTGTTACGTTAGAAGTTACAAAGAAGAGGAGATCCCCCTGCCGTACCCTCCACAGGGGGGAAGCACTCTAATGGGGAATGGAGGTGGCCCTGTTCCAGAGGAGATCATGGAAGGTGAAGTTGTTTGCTGGTCCCTGCAGTCCTCAGAAATGAGGAAGGTCCCTCGTGCCTCTGTTTGATCCAGTTGCCGGGCTGAGGCAGCCAGTGCCCAAAGCCAGGGAAGGGCTCTGCCCTCGGCCACGATGTGCCCAGGACTGGGGAAGGTGCGTCCGGGGCTCTTCTGCGGGGCCTTGGGCACCCTGTCATCGCGGCGCTGAGCTCCATCCCCCCCCAGCCGTGCCTTACAACAGCAAGAGCTTCAGACAGGAGAAAAACGAGTTTCATTCAGGAGAGGAGACTTTTGTTGTCAATGGAGTGAGCAATGTCCGAAGCCCACGGGCAGCGAAGGCGGTCGGTGGCATACAAATGCGGAGGAACAGACCTGCAGCACTGGGAGTCCTGGGAAGGAGAGGCTGCAGTGGGGGCTTGTGAAGCTGCCCTTCCCCTCACTTCCCTGCCTGGCGTTTGGAGGCAATCCTTCTTTGGATGGCTGGCCATCTGCCTTCTTTATTTGCAGACTCTCCAGAGTCACAGCTCTCCGATTTGTATGTGATGTACAGGAACACAGCGTTGTTTCAGAGCTCTCCTGCCATCTCCAGGCTTTCCGTTCCTGCCCTCTTCCTAGGCTGTGAATTCAGCTAGCAACTTCCTTGGGTATTAAAATACGGGTTTTTTTTAATCTTTTTTTGAATGCAGCAGCTTTAGATGTAGAAATGATGTAAAACCCCAATTCCTCTGTGGTTCCTTGTGCGGCGCTTTCTTCTCTTGCCCGACAGCACTGCTGTCAGAGCTCTGGTACCACTTCAGGCGCTCCTTCTCCCTCTTGGCACTGTTCAAAACAGAGAGCAGCTGCCCCACCTCCCCAGGTCTGCATGTCCTTCCTGCTTGAGACCATCCAAGCGAGACACTGACGCCCACACGCTGCACCCTTGCCTTGCAGCAGCTGGGCTGTGTAGCACGACCACGAGAAAGCTCGCGGTGCTGCTGGCTGCCCCCTGCGAGACTCTCCGGGGCCCTCAGCTCTTCCTTTGCGTTTTGGGAGTGCATTGAAGTGGCAGTCCCATGATGCAGAGCAATAATGGCTTTTCAGCTGTGGCTTTCTGGTGTTGCCGAACTCCCCTGGGCTTCTCGGGACTTGCTGTGCCAGCGGCTGGGGCTGCCATCCTGGCACTCAACCCAGGAAGCCTGGAGCTGGAGCCAGAGGACCCCACCGCAGCTGAAGGCCCCTGCTCAGTTATTGCTGGACGTGACATGCTCTTCAGTAGCATCACTGCAGATGCAAAGAGGACCAAAGCTTGGTGGAGCAGAAAGGGGGGAACCTCAGGTCTCAGTTTCTGTCGTTCTTCGCCACCTCCAGAGCCAGCCTTCCTGCGTTTTCACCCCCCGTCACACCGCTGCTGGTCCGTAGCCTTGTCCCTCGGAAGCAATGTCCAGTTTTCCCTCTGTCCTTGCAGTGCTGTTGGGAGGAGTGAGCAACACCACAACTGATCATCCCTTCGGCATAATTTCAGTGTTGTTAACTGCCCCTTTCCCAAATACCTTGTGCAGGGACCTGCCGGGTGTCACCTCTATGGAAGAGACCACAATACCCTTGCTGCTTATAGACACTGCTGGCTGCGGCCTGTTTGAGCTGGAAGTGGAGGATGAACAGTCTAAAGGGAATCCAGGTACCGTCGTTCGGAAAATTTTGTTGGCAGGAATTGATTGTCTGAGGTCCTCACCCTCCCGTGGGCTTGACCACTGCACCAGCTGAGCCACGTCCCAGAGATGCCCTCCCCAGAGCAGGTAGCAGGGGGAATGTGGGGTCCCCGGGCAGCCTTGCCCGTTTGAGGGATCATTCCCTCTGTAAATGCTCAAGCTCAAAGGGCTCCGAGCCAGAGCTGAGCGGGCACAGGGCTGCGATGAGGGTGTACAGCATGCGGGTGGGCACGCTGGCTGCCTTGCTCCCTTTCAGAGGCGTTTCTCCATGCTGTGGGCTAGGACAGGGTGGGACATCCTGTGACGGATGCTTTACACGAGTTGGCAGGGCAAGTAGGATCAGGCAGAGCACAAGCCTGGTTTAGAGAGGCTATAGGTGGGGCTCGGAGTCGCCCCCAGTCCTCTGCTCCTTGCGTGAAGTCCTATGTGGCTCTTCTCCATGAATTTTCTAAAGACATTGAGTTTCTTGTTGGTTTTCTGACTTAAAAAGTAGGTTGCATTATGGAGATGGAGTGTAAAGTCAGGCACTCAGAAAACGGCGACGCTCCCTCCTTTGTGTCCTCGCTTCCGCAGCAAGGCAGGTGGTGGTGTTTTGCTGTTGGAGGATGCTGCTCCTGCCCCTCCAGATGTAGTCCAGCATCCCCCCACCTGCCCACTGGCTCTTCAGAGGCTCACGGGGGGCTTTTACCAGGAGCTGTTGCACATGGGCTGTCCCAAAACCTGCTGCTTCATCTGATAGTCCACGTCCCAACCTTTTTATGGAGATAGCTCTCCCAAAAGCATTGGGGAGAGCTTTTAGCCCAGCACGCTGTTGGCAGAAGGACTGCTGAGGGGCACAGTGAGCCCAGGCTTTGGGGAAGGTGAGACTCTTCCTTCAGGACGGCATCTTCCCCTGGGATTGTAAATTCACTGCCCAGATTGGCTCTGCGGTGCCCGGAGGGGACCGATCTCCATGAGCGGTGCCCTACCACCATGCCCACCGCCGCCCCTGCCTGCCTGGTGGCTGCCCGCACTTTTCCCGACAGCGGAGCCGCAGGCTTTGCCAGCCATTTGCTCTCACGTGGCCCAGGAGCTTATTTGGCAAGGCGGCTGCCTGCTCCAGGGATGCGTTTGTTTTCCTCCCCGCTCACCAGTGCGGGTCTCTGCCAGCAACAGATTTCTGAGGCTTCGCGTCCCTCTCCGGCAAGGCAGGGAAAATGAGCTGTAAAATACAAGGACAGTTTTTACCAGTTTAAATCTCTTTTGCCTTCTTTTGTTTGAAAACCCGCCAGTGTTGCAGTGCCCCTCGTTTATCCGTGCGCTTTTTTCTGAACAGGGAAGGGCTCCTGTCCCCAAATGGAGACCCAAAAAGACTAGTCTGCAGTAACTCAGGGATTTTGAGCAGGAGATTAAATTCACGTCTCCCAAAATTTGGGAGGCAGCCTTTTGGAGCAGCCTACTGCAGATTCTGGATTTTTATACCTGTGTTTTGCTGCAAAACGGAGGGTAAAGTCAGTGCAGCCAATAAACCAGGGAAATGGTTCACGTTTGTATTTAACTTGTTCTCATTAGATCTCTGTGAAGCAGCCACCGTCCTGGAGAACCGGTCGATTTGGCAGGCTGCCTGCGGCCTCTGGAAGGTCTGAGCGCACGGGTCTGAGCACGAAGCTTGTTCGTTTGGTCATGGGGGTTTAGAAATGTGGGGACTTAAAGAGCGGAACGAAAAGGAAAGGTGGAATTTTTTCAGTTGCAGCACAGAGAATTGAATCTCCAGTGAAGTCTAGGGTCTCGCTTCAGAGGGAGAATCATCTATTGCCTGAGTTGTCATTGATCTCGTGGATGAGTGCAGGAGAGGCCAGAGAGAGCCAAGTGCTGCTCAGAAAGCTCTTCTGAAGCTTAAGCGAGCCGGTCATTCGGAAAGGCAAGAAGCCAGCGCCGTGCGGCCCTGGGAATGGGGCTGTGGAGCACATCGCCACCCAGCCAAGCAAGCCGGGTTGGAAATTGTTACCCTGCACAGTGCTGCACTGCAGGCAGGACTTTCCTTAGCCTTTCCTTGCTGTTTCAGGGGAGGTGGGCAGATTTTCCTGGAGCTGAAGCATGTCCAAGCTGGTGGCTTCAGCCTCTGCCTGCCAGCCCCTTCCCATCACCACCCCTGTGCTTTCTGCCCTAGGGGAGGTGCAGCTGGCTGGTTTGCACATCCGAGCCTTGGTGGAAGCTGGTGTGAAGGCCCAGGACATCGCTGTTGTAGCCCCCTACAACCTCCAGGTGAGATGACCCTCTCCTGGCATCTCCTCTCTTTTGTGCACACATGCAGAGCAAACGCACAGAGGTGGATTCAGACCTTGGCATCTCAGGAGTGATACCAGAACGTCCTCAGAGAGACGGAGGTGGAAGTCAGCAGAGCCAGACTGTGCAATCAGCATTTGTGGCCAGCTTCTCCACGTTTAAGTAGCTTGAGGCCACGGAGGGAAGAGATGTTGATCGTGTGTTTTCCGCTCCCAGTCTCAGGAGTCAGCACTTGACCTCCAGGAGATGCAAGCGCTCATCCTTATGGGTTCAAGAGGACAGGACTTTACCAAAACAGTGCCATTTTAATCCTTTTCACCTCGTGCTTTTCTTTAAAAGATATCTATTGCGTGTTTTTCAGGTGGACATGCTAAGAGAGCACCTTTGCCACAGGTACCCAGAACTAGAAATTAAATCCGTTGATGGTTTCCAAGGAAGAGAGAAAGAGGCAGTGGTCCTGTCTTTTGTGAGATCCAACAGGAAAGGTAAGCGTTTGCTGCTGGAGAATTACTCCATGGGCAATGAGAAAGAAATGGGAACTGTGTGGTTGGTCTCTAGTGCTTTGCTCTGAATGAATTTACTGGCAAGAACTTTCCTTTTTAGCCTTTGTTTTTTAATGATGGAATATATCTGCTGTCACGGTTGCAGAGGAAGGCTCCCATGCTGGGCAGCGGGTAAAAAGGAAGCCAGGACTGTTTAGTTTGAAGGTTTCCTGGGATTGAAGCCTCAGAAGTTATTTAAACCAGGGTCTTAAGAACGACACACGTCAGGTTAGCACCACGTTTACTGGAGTGCCGAGCACTCCCCGCAAAAGGTGAAAATTTGGGGGCTTGTTTCTTGGATTTGGAGCCTATTTTGTGTCGCTTCCCTGAAGAAAGCAAGCAGGAGCTGGCGTTACAAGTCATGCACAGAAAATGCTTCTTTCGGGAGCAAAATCTAGAGCGGAAAATCGAGTTCTTTCCTATCAGCAGCTTGAGTGAAAGAATAGCTGGAAAAAAGCTGCTGCCCCGGAGCCATCGGCTCGTGTGGAATGGTTTTGTGGCAGCCAACGTGAGCGGGACCGCTCCGTGAGCCACCTCTGCCGTGCGTGGGTCACTGCCCTTCGCAAACCCGCAGTGAGACACCTCCCTGGCTTGTAAAGCTGCTGAAGATGCTGGGAGTGCTGATGTCTAGGAGGGAAAAAGGGGGAAAGGATGCATGGAAAAGAGGAGGCTTTTGTTTGTTTGTTTTCTGAGAAAGCCTAGAGCCAGAAAAGCAGCGCTGGGGGGAGAATGGAGGTGGGGGCCAGGACTAAGAATAGTCCTTGTTCTTGAGTGACTCACCTCGCCTTTGCTCCGTGGGAGCTGTGTCCTCCGGGAAGGCGCGTGTCCCCCGGCCCCCTTCCCGTGCGTAGCCGAGCAGCAGAAGCTCAGATGTGGTGCAGGAATCACTCACGTTCCTGGGGGCACGAGGCAGCTTCTCGTGGTGTCTGGGCACGACTCTGGTCTGCACGGGCACAAGAGATCTTGTTAGCCTCCTCCAAGACACTTGGGAGAAATCCACAGCCTTTTTGCAGCTGCATTTCTCAGCTCAGAGGTGGCCAGGGACCATGACCAGCAGTGCCTGTCGCTCTGCAGCTGTTCCCCATCCAGCAGGAAACCCTCTTGCCGGATCAGAGGAGTCGGACTTGCCCCTGCAGTCAGGCAGAACCCCATCACACAAACTGGAAATCGTTCTCTAAGCTGCAAAGCCCAGAGAAGGGCTCGCCCACTCCCTGTTCCTCAAAGGCAGCACAAACTCGACTGCTCAGCCACGGCACGGCACGGCAGACACGGAGCCGGGCTGGTCACCGCACTGGCAGAGACGTTAATTTCT